CTGTGGCGCCTGCTTCCACAGCCGCGTCACCCGAGGATCCGATCGCCTCGGAGGCCACCTGAGTAGCCTCCTTAAGTGCAGAGCCTTTGCCGTGAGGCTTAGTGCTCTTGGCTTGCGCCTTACCGGCAGCAGCCTTGGAGCGTGTCTTAGCACCGCTCTTAGCAGTGCCACGAGGCATGATAACGGTCGAAGTGGAGACCTAGACGAAGAGCGCACAGGTTGCTGCTCGAGGCTCTAACTGTGAAGTGAGCCTCCGCCGCGCTCGCGCGGCCAAGTCGATGGTTTTCGACTTTGAGAATGAGAGTTTGTGACGAACACCTCTTCATTCTGATTGGTCGGTAAACCGAACCTAAGTGGGAAAAGGATGTAACGGGGTACGTAGCCCTAAGTGTACCCTGGTTACATGAAGTGTGACACTTCACACTTCAGGAGTATGACACGTCATACTCCCGGGATATTTGGTACAAGGGTACCAAGGTCGTTCAAAGCCAACCATTGGTTAAATGACATTGCATTTCTATAGGTAACTAATAGTTTTGTATTAAGCCCCAAACTTAACCTACCTATAAATATACTCAGTTTACAATCTACCTTATTTAGGTCACTTCGCTCTCTTTACCTGTGAACTGCCGTTCACTGAGAGTTTATATACTCTCGGAAGATAACTTCCTCTAGCGCAAGGTGCTGTGTGACCCCGTCACAGGTACGGTAGCTTGTACGGAATAATCTTATCTGAGTGGATGCCCACTCAGATTTTTCACGGGACTTCTTATCTAAATAAAACTGTTAGTGTAATATTTGGGATAGGAAAAGCTGCTTTGGGAAAAATCTGAGTGGACATCCACTCAGATAAGATAATTCCTGTAGCCAGGGATTTGAAGCGCGATCCCTAGAATTTATACTGCACACCGGTGGAACGCAAGACGGCGACTTGACACCAATTGCGCGTGGTGTGGAATATCCAGCGACTTATCATCGATGTCTAAACAAATTATTGGAATGCATCGATTCATGACGGTGTGGAGACCAGCATTGCGTGACTTGCTACATTCTCGATGGACAGCGGGTACTTTGGCGTCGATGCTCATCTCATCGCTGTGTTGGTGGCTGCTTTCCGAGCTTGCGGAGTCTGATCATGCTCTAATGCGTGGTCTGCCTAATGGAGCTCGTAGTTTTTGGTGCGCGGAGCTTGAAGGCCACATCGATGCCCACTACTATCGCCCGGAAGTTTGTGTCACTGCTCGTAAGCGCACCAAGTCCATCACAGACCTCGTGCGTGCCTTCAGTGCAATGCTCAACAAGCGCGATGTCGACTATTGGCTTGACAGCGGCACCTTGTTGGGGCAGTTTCGTGCTCAATCTGTCATTCCTTGGGACGATGACGCCGATTTTGGCATGACCCTGGAAGGCTACGAGCTGCTTCGAAATAGTCGGTGGGCCGTTCCAGAGGGTTATGAACTCCAAGTGTACGACAGCAACATCCATGTAGCACGAGACCGTGACTGGAATATCCCCGCTCGACTTGTGGACAAAGCCTACGGGTTCTATGTGGATGTGTTTGTGTTCACCGACTCAGAAGCCAATGGTGTCGAAATGCTAGGCACTCACCCGTCAAGTTGCTGGCATGCGTGTTCAAAGTGTCTACAGATCGATCGGTACGCCAAACATCTTCTCATTCCGCGTTACTACGTGTTCCCGCTGTTGAGCTGTCCATTTGCCGACTTCCAAGTGCTCTGCCCAGCGAGAAGAACGCTCTACCTGGAGCATCTGTACGGACCAGATTTTCGTACGCCACAGAAAACGTGAATTATTTAGCATGAACCAGAAGCAAGGATAACATGAATTCTGTGAAGAAGAGCTCGAGTTTCAGGGTGATCACTACAAACTTGGCCAAACCAGCTGAACAAAGTTGCTCTGAGGACGATGAAACTTGCTCTGAATCTTTCAGCATCTGTCCTGGTTACGGATTATAATCTAGGGTAAAACGGATGATTTTCTCGTGTATCCATTAAAACGGATGATTTTGGAGTGTTTTCAAATCTTCCAACGAGTAGTATTAATAGCACGCAAGCCTCGGACGAGCTTTTGAGGAGCCGAGGTTTTAGAGCTCATAGCCATTATCAATTCGAGGGAGAGGGGTCTTTGGCGCAGAGAAATGGCTTTTTTTCCCGCGTATTAAAATTAAGCCGTTGGGCCGGGCCCAATTTTAACCCCCCCTTTCTTGGGACGCATTTTTGGGGATTTACGGGTAGAGGTTACGCGTTACAAAAAACAAAAAAGCTCAATTCCACCCTGGCAAAAACCTGGATCCCAGACTATTCAAAGCTGTCTATGATTGGCCAAAACCTGTCTGATATCTTCAATTCTCAGACGGATGTTCCGCCCAATGGCGACACCGTGTGTACAGGTAGATTTCCCTGCATGCAACCCCGCTTACTGTCACTCCTTCTCGTCACTCGTTGCCTCCGGCCACTAGCAACGAAGCCCCTGCACTTCACCGCATACTCCTCTTGTATTATATCACCGCCTAGCTTGCTGTAACGTCGGGTGAGAGACAGTGATACAAGCGGAGGCAGAGAGAGATGCTG